GTATTTAATGTTCGGCTCCGCCCGAACTTAGACTTTCTTACTTGTTTCGTTTACAACTGGTTCGAAACTATAGAAAATGGGGTGAAAAGCGAACTAGATCCCATATGTCGAATTTAGGACTGGTTCTGAACTATAGAAAAGGTAATGCAGCGGGGGACAATTTCCAATTCCTATGACATCGCTGTGTTAAACTCGCCAGTTGTTTGCATGCAAAAGAGATTTATCGCGAACTAGTAGTGGTTCTAAATGTACTAGAAGCGCAACAGTTCAAAACTAGAGATTTTCCCTACAGGGAATGCACTAATCGCGCGCTGTGATGTTGATTCAAACTCAACATTTGAAAACACATTTATATGTATGGCTGTAGCTGAGTGTGCAAAGACGCCAAGAGGGTCCGGGTTCAATTACCATCGACGGAACATAAAATTAAATTTTTTTCTTCTTAATTACGAAAAAGCATCTATGCACTTCACAACCACATACTTTATAACGTATATACTCATATTTAAAATGAGTTTGGTTGGTGCTCTTTCATATGCTTATTTTTTCAAATTTAGCACGTTTTTTTAATTCTAAAATTTTTTTCCCTCAGTGTATGTATTAATTCCCCTAGTTTCATGTTCCTATCGTTTTTTTCCTCGAAATGTATTAAATGTTGTCATGTATGCAAAATAAGCTGCAAGTCGAATGTATGCAAAAACAAACAAAATTGCCAGACATATACATAATAAGCTTTTTCAGGCATTTGCTTAGATGTTCCAGCCTTGGTTATAAATAATCTTGTGAAAACCTAAAAAAGATATGATTGAAGATTAAAATGAACAAAAAAACTTTTTAACAAAACTTGTTTTCAAATTTTTCGTTAGAGTTAATTTATTTTAACCTAAATTTTACTTTTCGCAGCGCTACGATCGCCTCCAGTGGAAGATCGACCTAAGTATCTCGGCAGCCAGTTCGAAAACATCCTATCTCAGAAAACTTTTCAAGAACGCTCTACTTCAGGATTTGGTTGAAGAACGTCCTATCTCAACTGAAAATATATTGAAAATATGTTGGAATATAGCGTTTTCGAATAAAGATTTGAAATTGGGCGTTCATGAAAAGTTTTCTGAGATAGGATGTTTTCGAACTGGCTGCCGAGATACTTAGGTCGATCTTCCACTCAGCCGACGATATGTACTTACAGAGAAATACAAAAAATATTTGTTTGTATATGCACACATTGTTAAAAAGTATGTACTAATAATATTCTATATTACTCCATTTTGTTTTAACAGAATATCTCTGACAGTTCGTTGTTAAGAATATAACATTGAAGTCTGGCTCATCCCTAAATCTGCTGGCTATTTTATCTGTTTTAAATTTGAGATGGATGATAACAAAGACACGGGAATGGCTCAAACAAGTGGCGCTACATTGCGGCGGCCGGTTCAAATAGTGAAGAAACGCTCTGGCCCACTGGACGATGCCCTTAATGAGCTACACCTTGGGATCAGCGATAAGCAATCAACCCCTGATTTGGCGACGAGGACGGCAACGCCGATTTTCGCAACTTGGCAAGTAACGCCAACAGATGCTGCTGTGAAACTACCAACATTCGCAGTAAGCGCTCCATCACCCCAGGCTGTTCGCCGGCGTCCCACAATCAAAGAGAAGGAGAAAAAACGAGAACGATGGTTGCTTACAAGGAAAACGTGGAAATATATGACTGACGCTGGTCGTAAACTGATTCCAGATGGGGCTCAAAACCGCAAAGAAGATATACTAAAGATCGAAACACATTTCCAACAAGTTTGCGCCAATGAATCTCGTTTTATATTATGGCGTCGCAAATCGTCTTATCCTGGGGCTGTGCGTAACTCAAAACGGCGCCTAAAACACTTGCTGCAACATACTGGACAAAAGGAGCCGCCTACAATTGATGCTTTGGAACAGCTAGAGGCTAACAACGCTGACCAAATAATTGACATCTTACAATCCTATTTAAAACTTGGTGATGCATATAAAACAACCACGTTACTTAGTTCTAAGACGGTTCGTCCTGATCAGACAGCTTCACCAAGCGCACGTCGCCCAGGTAAATCCGGGAATTCCTTCACAAGCACTGGAAATAACACTTCGATGGGACCTGTTTTTTTGAGTCCCCAGCTTCCTAAAAGCCTTCAACAGCTAAATGAAATAGACCAACTATTGGAGCGATTACGAATGCTATCCCGCAGTGTAACAACAAATATATTTACAATACCACCTGAAAATATTACGCCAGCGATTCTCGAGGATAAGGCTTTATTAAAACAAGTGTACAATTCTCTTAAAAAGCAACAATTGCATCGTGTTTTGAGTAAACATTCCACCCCGCCGTTGAAGAATCCACGATCGAAACTTAAGCATTCATCATCACTGTCTAGTCTAACGCACTTTGGTTCTGGAGCCGGCGCTGCCACTAGGTTAGGAGATGGTGGAAAGGATCCAGACGTTTATGAAGTAGCTCGAGGCAAAGATCAAAGCACTTCGAGTGTAGAACCTACTACACCAACAATAATAACAACTGGGACCACTCCCAAAAAACACCTACGCACTGCTAGTAAGTACGTCAGTAGCGTTATTGTATCACCCACGCCGGCGCCTCGTCAACGGAAGCCGCCAAGTACGCTCGATCTACCAGGTTTATGCAGCGCCAACAAAAATAGCGCACCGCCACGCCGTGCTAAAGAGCATCCAATTGAAAAGCATTTTAATTCGTGTGGTACTCAGACGAATTTCGTACCATTGCAGGAAATAAAACGCCTTGCTGAGGAATATAAAGAGCAAAAACGGGAGGAGGCAGCATTAAGTACTTCGACGATTGGTACTCCTGGTGCAACCGATGACGAAGCGGAAAAAGGTTTTTCGACGGCTTCTGCAGGAGGTCAACATCATCGTCGCAAGAGCTCCATAGATAACGAAGATGTTTCGCAGTCTGTCAGTGATACAATAAAGAGGTACTTACGTATGGCTAGAAAGAAAAGTGTGCATGATGACAATGCTAATCGTTTTAAACGTGTTAACTATGATCGAAATTTGAGAAATATAAAAGCCAAAGGTGAAATCAATCCTCCTGGCATGGATGAAGGTAATTCAAAAGCTGTGCAAACATTGGATGCCTGGCCGGTGATATCTTTGGATTTTATACGTGGCAATGAAAGTTCAAGCGTTTTAGAGGCTGCACATATCGAGTGGCAGAAAGCTTTGGATGATCGGATAAAAAAGAGACTTGAATATGAACAAAGGTTAAGTTGTCAGAATGGTGCAAGTTATGTGGGTGTGAGTACTTCCGAAGCCAGAGATGTAAAACCAACCGCCTCGAGTTGCAACTCTTCTTCGGCACCAACCTCTCCTATATCCAACGAAAAGTTTGAATCTGTGCCAGCAACCAGTAGTTTTGGTAGCGGAGTCGGCGGCCTTCGATTGGCCGGATCACAGTTTTTATCGAATTTATGGCACGGTGCATCATCAAATGTCCACGAAGATGGCACTAGGAACAATAATGCAGGTAGGCATTGTTCTCAGAGCCATCCTGGTACCAGCTTGTTGAAATTTCATCGAGGCGGAAAGGGCGATCACAACCCAGGACATAATGATTGTGAGTATTTAAAACCAAAATAAATGCATGCAAAGAAGTCAATCTAGAAACCACTATTTCGATAATAACACGATGCGACAGTGAAAATACACACGAATCATCATCTAGTGCAGGTTTTAGGTAGGGTCGAACACAACATTAAAATAGGTTCTTTATAGACCTTGAACCCAAAATTTTTGTAAATACCATTCGTTAGCGCACACAAGGGGTGGGTTTTGGGGTTCAAACCCTCCCCCCCCCCCCCCCCCCC